TGCATGTTAAATCCAACGGAAATAGTCAAAGAATAAGTTTTTAGGCTCAGTTGGGGGAGGGGGCAGCCCTTTATTTTCAGTTTGGACATCCCTCCCAGGTTCCTACGGCCATGGTTTTTTTAACTGTAACCAAAACCTTACTGATTATACACTGCACCTGTTGTGAGGTGTGTTGTATTTGTATTGTTTCATCATGTATATTATTAGTAACATTAAGTTTCTTGAACATTCCAGAGTGGTCAACATGTTCGGTCATTTTTTCTAGAACATTCTTGAACTTTGTGTATGTCCAGAACTTTCCAGTAATATCATGTACTTACAACTTCTAGAATTTTCTAGATTTATAGTACTGTATAAATACCCTGTCAATTCGATGCATAAACAATAATTGTCGTATAAGTAAGATATAAAGAGACTGGGATATAATTACACTGGACATTGTGTGCAGCAACGGACACTCTGATGTATGTATTTTTAGATTCTTGCTAAGTTTGTACTTTATGATTTGTATATATTAATGTTAATAAATTATTGTTAAGTTTAAATTGTGTGATTGATCTTTGCTGGCATTTAGGGTTATTCTGACCCATAACAGCACCTCATTCACATAATCCCGCGAGAGACTAAAATAAAAAATATCAAATAAATTTACAGAACTGCCGTTCATTCGAAGTATATGATATCATAATTAATATTTTTCGTAAGGCTATCATACTTTTAAAAAATTGTATTTAAATACTAGAGGTACTGTGAGCAATGAGCTCACTAAATGATACACCCCACCTCCCATATTTGTCCATGTGTTGCTATATATTGTTTTACGGTATTGTGAAAAGAGGAATAACTCGTCCTATCAAATGTTATCCAGAAGCTTCTATATGTGACGTCATAGGTAAACATATAATGGCAATGTCCATGTTTTGCTATGGGAAACTTAAAATACGTGTCCAATAAAAAAGTAAAATAGGAGGTGCACAATGGCAATATGTAATAAAGATTCTGTGAAAGTTTCATTAACTTTCACACAGTAGTATAAGAGGAGTTGCGGATAAGAGATAAAGCGTAACAGACGGACGGACGGACGTACAGACGGACGGAAATACCGATTACTATATAACCTCCCACTTTTCAAGCGGGGGGGGGGGGTATAATAAAAATAAAGAAAGACTGAGAGTAAATGTAGAAATAACCATATTTACTTTTGATAAAGAAAGACCGGATGCACATTATCATATAAGGTGTATAGTTTTATGCATTATTGTTCCAATAGTAAGACTTGATCTTTTTTATACTGTTAGCAGTAACGATAATTTCATTAACTAGAGTTATAGCTCTTTGATAAGTCAGAAAAGCATTTTTAGAAAAAAAAATTGAAGATGAATTTTATATAAATAAGAGTAGGAGCAGAGCTGAGGGATCTATAACACCTTTAACCTCCCACTTTTCAAGCGGGGGGGGGGGGGGGATAATAAAAATAAAGAAAGACTGAGAGTAAATGTAGAAATAACCATATTTACTTTTGATAAAGAAAGACTGGATGCACATTATCATATAAGGTGTATAGTTTTATGCATTATTGTTCCAATAGTAAGACGATCTTTTTTATACTGTTAGCAGTAACGATAATTTCATTAACTAGAGTTATAGCTCTTTGATAAGTCAGAAAAGCATTTTTAGAAAAAAAAAAATTGAAGATGAATTTTATATAAATAAGAGTAGGAGCAGAGCTGAGGGATCTATAACACCTTTAACCTCCCACTTTTCAAGCGGGGGGGGGGGGGTATAATAAAAATAAAGAAAAACTGAGAGTAAATGTAGAAAAAACCATATTTAATTTTGATAAAGAAAGACTGGATGCACATTATCATATAAGGTGTATAGTTTTATGCATTATTGTTCCAATAGTAAGACGATCTTTTTTATACTGTTAGCAGTAACGATAATTTCATTAACTAGAGTTATAGCTCCTTGATAAGTCAGAAAAGCATTTTTAGAAAAAAAAATTGAAGATGAATTTTATATAAATAAGAGTAGGAGCAGAGCTGAGGGATCTATAACACCTTTAACTTTCCTATCTTATATGAATATTATAAAACTGTTCCGATACGTAAAATGATGTAATAACTGAATAAACCGAACGGTAATCCAACTAACTGTTGGTGGATTTCGTGGATAATTCTTATCCATGAATTTACATCACTATACGGATGAATATCAGTCTTTTCATTGAATCAAACGGAGTACATTTAAACGAATAATCCACTACATAACATCCCCGCCAACATGTAATTTTTTTGCTTGCCCACAAACCCCTTGAGGAATAAAAATGATAACGCAGTAAATATTAACCGAGGTAATTTTCAAAGTTGGAATCACGTGTCTTTGAGGAGTATATATCCCCTGTCGACTGTTCACATCCTCTTAGAGCATTATACATGTATACTGAACATGAGTCATTTCAGTGGATTTTGTTTGTAGCGGTTAAATTTTTACACACCATGAAAAATTATCAGTAAATTTCACTTTGGATAAGAAATTTAAACCACTTTTTGAGATACAATGAAAACAAAGTATTTAGATTTTAAAATGTTTAATTCCTTTCAATGAAGCAATTCAACATGTTTTTCTATATCAAAAAAAAAAATCAAGATCAGGTTCATTATGTAAAGGAGAAAGGCCGAAAACTGTCCATTCTGTGAGAGAAAGAACTAATCGAGGGCCGTAGGCCCCAGATTCGTTCTTTCTCTCATAGAATGGACAGTTTGAGGACTTTCTCCTACTTAAAACATGATTCTCTTTGTTCTGGGAATTGTTTTTAAAATATGTGTAAAACAGGTAGCACACATACAATAAATTCATTGTTTACAGAATGGACAGTTACAGGTAAGCTTAGGGTGCACAGCAATTTGTTGAATAGCCATTGTGTTTCCAGATGCAAATAACAAAAGGTCTTTGTCTAAAGAATGGACATTTACAGGTGGATTTCAGGGGATGCTAGTATTTATATAAGAATGCAACTCCTCAAAATCATTTTATATTTTGCGTTGTAAAGGCAAACATGTTTCCCTCCGCTGGAGAGAAAATATGATAGAATCGAAATTGAAATGCTGAGACCAAAAGATGCACAAGTCCAGTGATATTTTGACCTGGAAACAGAGAATAGTAGGCGTAAAAGAAAATATTATCCAAACTTTGATCCCCTCGAAACTTCTTCGAAGACAAATACATGTACATGTACAAATATTTCAATCTGGAGTTGTTTTTTTATTTATTTGAATTCAGTTTTGAGGATGTATTAGTTGCAGCAGTGTAATGGTGAAATGCAATTTGTGTTCTGAGTGTTGGATAACCCTGAGCCAAACTTCGACCTTAAAATGTATTTCAAATCAAATCTGGAAATGTTTCATTTTTTAATGATTTTCTATCGAAATATTCACTACATCAGAGAAGTTTTCATGGTGCAAACTGTTTTCTGGGTGATGCAACTTCAAGCTTAAAATGGATTCTTCTCGAGGGAATGATGCTTCCAAACTCTTCATCAAAAATGAAATTGTTTCTTAAAATTTCAAGTTTTGTGGAAAAAAATGTTTTGAGCATTGAGATAATGTGCATTATTCAATATTCATGGCTTTCAATGTGTAAAATCAAGCAGATCCGATGCAGGCACTGTGTTCTGGATTAACTTAAATCTCAAAGTTCTTTTTGTTATTTACATGTACATCAAATTAATGGGTTTTTTTTGTTTTTGTTTCCCTTTTGTGCATATGCCAAGGTTTACCTGTAACTGTCCATTCTGTTTGTTTTAACTGTCCATTCTTTTTGAAAAAACTGTCCTTTCTTAAAAAGAATGGACAATTTTCCAGAAAGAATGGACACTTAAAGGTGACTTAAGGTACTTGTTTACTCAGAAGGAAAAAAAAATCTACTGATGATAATTAAAACTCGTCTATTAAATCAGCAAGACACACGTATGTATTGACAAAATCTACTTTAAAACATGTAGGTCAATGACCTACTTTTTTTACTATTAGCCAATGAAATCAAAGCATGAATTCACCATTGTAAATATGGATTTTTTAAGGTTACTTCAATCTTTTACTAAAATTTTTCTTGCGAGCATGTAATTGAAACATTCTACCATAGTAATTTATTAATCAAGGTGTTATCTTAAAAATAACAACAAAACTATTACAGAAATCAATTACGTTTTTATTTTCTGTAACCCGAATTTCCTCTGTTCAATGACATTTTATGCATGAAAATAAACCTTTTTTCATTCAAATATTCTAAAAATTTGGCTTATGACAACTCTTATTGGTTGTTTTATACAAACAGAGAACATCTTATAAGAAATAAAAATTAATCACAAAGTGGGTGTCAATGATCAAAATTTTGAGATATTTTGTTACAAATAACCTGAATTTCCTCTGTTTCATGACATTTTATGCATAAAAATAAACCTTTTTTCATTTAAATATTCTAAAAATTTGGCTGATGATAACTCTTATTGGTTGTTTTATACATACAGAGAACATTTTCTAAGACATAAAAATTAATCACAAAGTGGGTGTCAATGATCAAAATTTTGAGATATTTTGTTACAAATAACCTGAATTTCCTCTGTTTCATGACATTTTATGCATATAAATAAACCTTTTTTCATTCAAATATTCTAAAAATTTGGCTGATGATAACTCTTATTGGTTGTTTTATACATACAGAGAACATCTTCTAAAAAATAAAAATAAATCACAAAGTGGGTGTAAATGACCAAAATTCTGAGATATTTTGTTACAAATAACCTGAATTTCCTCCGTTTCATGACATTTTATGCAAATAAATAAACCTTTTTTCATTCAAATATTCTAAAAATTTGGCTGATGATAACTCTTATTAATTGTTTTATAAATACAGAAATCACCCTGAAATAAATAAAAATAAATCACAAAGTGGGTGTCAATGATAAAAATTTTGAGATATTTTATTACCATTTACCTGAATTTCCTCTGTTATTTTTCAATTTCATGTGATATTCCATTATTTCTCCTTATAATGTGTAATAAAAAGAAGTTGAATTGCTTGACAAAATCTTTTCATGTCAACTCGGTGTGATTTTTTGAACTTCAAAAATAGTTTATGGACATTATTCTAGGAAAGTAAGGGAAACAAACTTAATTACAATCCCTTGTCCCATATTCTACACATTCTCGATTTAAATCATAGCAAAACCAAGAGATCATACAAAATTCTGCAATACACACGCCGTGTATGAAAAAACCAGTACACTCAATATAATTTAAAATTAATTTTTGAATCATTTAGTTAAAATAAATTAAATTTACATGCAATAAATGTAATGATTAATAAATCAAAAATGAATTAATGCATGAACAAAGTAAAAGATAGAATGTACTATTTCTTATATGACTCAACATCATCCATTTCAAGACAAAACTAATGATCAACTTCTTTCATGAATTTTGCACAATATGACCTCAATGTTTGTGAGCAAAGTACAAGAAGCAAAACTCCAGAGAATATACATCTAGTGATCATTTAACTTTCGTTTGAAGACATGAAAAACTGGGTAACATTATCAATAATTTTCTTGCACTTCGTAACTCTGACAGATTTGTTGTCATACAGCTCAGTGAATAGATTATAAATGCCATCAGGACTTCTAGAATGTGCTAATCTGAGACATTCATAGTTTAGGCCACTACCTGCCACCTTCTTTGCCATTCTGACACTCAAAACATTTTTATCAATCAAACCTTGTAAGGATGGAATGTTTCTATCTACAACCTTCTGGTAGTTATGGACACTCAAAGCATACTGAAATGTAAATGTACAAGATGAATGTTCGCCATCACAAAAATGAACAGTATCAAATAACCTCTGCAAAGCTAAAACATCCTCTACAGCATCATGTGCATTGTAAGTACATTTTAGTAGCACTTCTGATAAATATTGCTGGCTATATGAACACAAATTTGGATGGACAAGTTTGAATAGAAATCTAGTATCTAAAAAACCTTGTACACATTTTGACATTCGATCCAATAGCGAACAAGAATCTAGAGCTTGAAAAAGAACATGAACATCAAAACTTTTGATATTGTGGCCAACTAAAATAACATTGCCTTGCTTCTCAATAAAGCTTAAAAAAGAGCCAAGTGCATTGGAAATTGAAACAGCATTGACTCTTCTCTCATGGTGATAGAGGGTTCCATTATCCAGCCTTAGGCCGGTAATTGTGGAGGCAGAGGGTGTAATTGGCTTCTTAGGCATTACATAGGAAGAAAATGTCTCCTTCCCACAAATGGCAGCCACCTGTAGAATGTGTGATGTTCTCGCTGAAATAAAAAAAAAACATTTATTACAAAAAAAAACTACCAAAATCTACAATAGCATTCATTATCTTTTTAATTTTTTGTACCAAAATCAGCATTGGCTTTCTTTCATATTTTATAAATTAGATAAGACAACTTTTTTTTTAAGTTTTCCATAAAACCAATTGTACAAATTTAGTTTAGAGAAATAAAATTCATCAATACCAAGTCCTGTTGTTTCCAGGTCAAAAAAGACAAATTTTTTGTCTTTGGTTGACAAACTCTGCTGTTGTGGTTCAGATGAGGGTGGTGGAATTTCATCAACTACAACATTGGAATCAGATATTCCAACCCCAGACTGATATGTTGGGCCCTCTCTTATCTCTTTACATACTGTAGTCTGGACTCTGCAAAGACAATACAATTTTGAAAATCTATAACTGAACAACTAGTATTTGAACCCTCAAAACAAAATTAATTTTCAAAACTTTACAAAATGAGCAAAGTTAAAATATTTGAGTATGCATGAAATGCACAACCAATTTTGTTCTGTCAACATTTAATAATATCGTTATGAATACCTTACAAAATTAAGATAAAGCTCCAGGTATATGACAAACAGCGGAGTCCAACACAATCAAACCCCACAAAGAGGTTGGAGGTGGAGTACGTAATTCTGTATACAGGGTTATTTTTTGCTGTTTTGCACTTGCAAATAATTTTGCTCCATTTTCCATTCAACCAGTCATAGTTCTGTTTTAGAAATTATGCTGTGTAATTTGAAATCACCCCGTTTTAAATTCGGCCAATGAAGAAGAGGGTGAAAGGGATGAAAATTCAATGAGCCAAAATTTCCCTGTATACATAACTTATTAGCTTTTGATTTAAAAACTTACTTCTTGGCTTTCAACTGCATTCTTTTCCTTTTTGCAGTCTTTGTTCTGGCAATGGCTTTTCTTTTTCTTGATTGAGAATCCCGCAAGTAACAGAATTTTCTTGTGTGTCTTCCTGGGGAGAGACCAACTCCTCTGTTCACCTATTAAAATTATCAACATGTTATAATGCCAAAGCTCAATAAATTTACTAGTATATCACTGATTCACTTGTGACCTTAATCTTTAATACTGTAGACATAATTTTTTCCATGGGGTCATAATTCTGCGAAATCTCAATTTTCGCAGGTAAAAAATTATGTCGTTTTTCTAGATTTTCACTATATTTCTTATATTCATATTAAGTACGCTTGGACAAATTTCTGTTTAAATTTGTGACGGCAATCATAGTGTACATTAAAACCACGCTGAAAAAAGTACTTCTACAGAATATGAATTGTTATTTGTCATCATCAGACAACTGCATAACTATAATTATGACTTACCTCAATCAGATATTTCTGCCCTGCATTTTTCTCTGCAACACTTGCTGCAACTCTGTAACTGAGACTTGCAGATCCACCAAAGTGATGATTCTTGGGAGCTTTTAGGGAGACAGCTTTGTTGAACGCTTCATTTGCTTGTGTACTTCCTAATCTTGAAAGTTTGGAAGTGTCCTTCAGCAGCTTGGAGCAGATGAGTTGAATGGACTCTTGAAGATGGCTGTCCTTGAGTGGTTTTCCATATGGCAAAGCAGAATATTTCTGTTTCGGATTGCTGATTTGGGAACACCAAGATTCATTGCAAGCGCTGTGATCACCAAAAGGGTGCCTGCTTAATGCTTCCAACCCTCTCTGTACCCCCTCTGTATTTCCTTGGTTTTGTGACAACATGTAGTTAAAACATTTTACAAAGTACCGAATAACTTTAGTACTCAGTGATCTGTGTTTTGGTTGCAAACCATACAAATTTGAAGTGAAAATTTTCCTTATATGGTTTTTATCACTAATCTTTGTAATGTTTGAGTGGACATTTCTCAAATGACAAAAGGTAGTGGTGTCCTCATCTGCAACCACATTCGTTATGTTCACCCCTTCTTCCACTTTTCTGGAGACCATTTTAGCCACCATATCCTTTTCCATTGCTTTAGAGCTTCCTATATAGAAATGTTAAAGCTAAATTGAGATGTATAAAAATGATCACATTTCAAAATTAAAATGTATGAGACTGATTGTTGACAGCTTAAGATATCATATCTAAAAATTTAAGTTATATCTGGTGGTTAATTAAATGAATTTCCTTTATTTTTTCTAACAAATATAGTGTGAAAACCTAACTTTGCTCAATAACTTTTCATTTTTATTTACTTTTACTTATAATATATATCCTATATTCTAGGATGCTGTTGTTTTACAATATTTTTTTTAGGTTATTTAAGTGTGATGGCATGTTGCCTGTTGGTGTTATTTAAAGTTGTGCTCATTTGATTTGTTGTTTGTTTGTAAGTGCAAAAGCCTGCTTTTCTTAAATCACTGGTGAGCTTTTGTATCTAAAGGGCCTATCTGGACACCATACTCATGGGTTGTATTGATTGTCATGTCTCGCACACAATTAATTTGCTTGCTAAATGTTTTTCTCAAGTGCTTTCAAGCAGTTTAAAGTACATGCATTTGCATAACAAGTTTTTAGTTAAGGTGAGAATAGAGGGAAAGGGATAAGTGGGTCATTTCTCTTTCTGAGAGAATAACATACCTTCCCAGTTTTTTCGGCAGTCATGATCTTTGGGGTCTTTTCCATTTCTTGTGGCACTCTCACAAATTTTGCAACATTTTGTTCTAATTTCATAGTCAATGACTTTGCCTGTCTGGGATCCAATCATGGAGCAATGACCTAAAAATATGTTTCAAATAAAAAGTTATGCAGATTCAGTTATCAAAGGAATAAATCTGTTATATTCATATATGTTAAGAAATATATTTATTCAAAAATATATTATAAAACATTTGGATTTTTACTTTGTTACACATTCAACTCCTATTAAAAGAAAAAAGTTGTGTTTGTGAAACACTATGTGCCCAGTGGAACAAAGTTCCAAAAAACTATTTTTAGCATACAGGTCATAAGTCAAGGAAACAAGGTTATTGGCCTTGATGTCATTTGAAAGAGCTTAATTAGTGAGGTATGCATACCAAATATGAAATCTCGATCTCCTATGGTTCAAGTTATGGTAAAAGTTTGAAAAAGCTTATTGCCCAGTCAAGGTCACATCAATGACCTAGGTGTCATTTGAAAGAGCGTAATTACATGAAGTGGAGTATGCATACCAAATGTGAAAGTTATGGCGAAGGTTTAAGTTTACAACAGACAGACAAAAACAGACGTACAGGACAAGAGGCCCAGGGGCCACATCGCTCACCTGAGCAATTGGCTTGGAAAAAGCACATATCAGATCAGAACTAAAAGTTTACTGAGGTGGGGGTGGGGGTGGGTGGGTGGGGGCTTGAATTTTAACCCCCCAGGGGGTCATGATTTGAAAAAACTAGAATCTACACTACCTGAGGATGATTCCCTATAAATATAACTAAGCATGGCTTTGAAGTACTTGAAAAGAAGATTTTAAAAAGGTTTCCCATTATATTCCTATGTAAAACTTTTATCGGTCATTTGGCCCCACCCTACCCCTGGGGGTCATGATTTAAACAAATTTGAATCTACACTATCGAAGGATGATTCCACATGAGTTTCATTTTTCCTAGCCTAGTGGTTCTTGAGAAGAAGATTTTTTAAAAATGCCATTATTTTTTCTCTATTTCATGATTATCTCCCCTTGGAAAAGGGCGTGGCCCTTCATTTGAACAAGTTGAATCCTCTTTACCCCAGGATACTTTGTAGCAAGTTTGGTTAAAATTGGCCCGGTGGTTCTTGTGAAGAAGATGAAAATGTGAAAAGTTTACGACAACGACAACAACAATGACAGACGACGGACAAATTTTGATAAGAAAAGCTCACTTGAGCCTTTGGCTCAGGTGAGCTAAAAACAGTATACGCCCCTGATCTATCAATCTAGGCATAAATGCACAAAAAAAATGCACAACATACCAGAGAGGCTGTCAAAGGATCGCCCACTGCCTCGTTTCTGCCAACCTGCGTCGACACTGACCGTTAGCTCGTCTGTACCTTCACACCTTAAAAATCATAAGGAAGCTATCAGAAACATGAAGCGAGTTTTTTTTTCCAACTTGATTGAGGTTAATCCCTTAAAATCTATACTTTTTAAATGTGAAAATTATGATTTACTTCTTAAATGTAAAATGCAAAAGATGCATATATATATACTATATGAGTATCAGAATAGAAATACAGTAAAACTTGGTTATAGCAAAGTCCTGGAGACCTATGAATATATCCATTATTGGTTATGTCAGTATAAAAAACTTACATGAATATAAAAAAAAAAATTGACAATTAATTTACACATTTTCCTTTGGGTATTTTTACTGAATATGTAAGGAAATAATTGTTACAAAACATTCTATTAATATGTTTTCATTATGAATTGCTGAAAATAAATTCAGTTCAATATATCTGTAAATTTGTTACATTAGAGTTCCTTATAACCACATATAATTTTATTTTAAAAATGTGAAGAATTTTTGCTGGGAACACAAAAAACTTCACTTTATCCGTGAATTCACTATAAATATTCCTACTAAGTGAGTTCTTTTCTGTATGTACATACTCTATGGTTGCCTGAATTTCATCGTCAAGGCTGCGTCTGGTGCTTTCCTCTGCAATTTTCTCCATCACTGTTCCTGTTTCATTTTGTCTGATCTGCAGAGTTCGGGAACTGATAGGGGGGATATTCAATGATGTTAGGAAGGTATTCACTTGAGATGGCCCCATACCTGTATGCACCATTCCTAAAAATATATAATTCAGATGCATTTATGAAAAATAAAACAAATTTATGACAGGATATTAATCTGGTTCATAATATACATGTTCTGTAATTGAAAAATTAATACAAAATATGTACCTGTGGCAAGCTTGGTATTTGCATCCCATATTTTTCCATGTCGCTTTCCAGTGGCTATTTTATTTACATGATGGCACGCTGTATTCTGGCACTGGACTTTCAGGAATGAACCCAAGCCACAAGTTAGTATCCCCAAGGTATGTGAAAGATGGAGAGGTATGCCACAAACTCCACAACCCGAGAGCCCATCTGCCAATACCCCAAGTTCCACCACCCTTCTCCCTTCTCTCCATGCAGTGTCATATCTTCATTAAGCAAAATAAGTGTTATTTGGATTAACTTTAAAGTTCATTGCAGTTTTTTCCCTATGAACAGGCAACTGGTCAAATTGACAGCTTCAATTGACAAAAATGTTGCTTTGAAATAACAATCTGTTGTAAGGTCCACAGCGATTTTGTTCATAAACCTCATAACTTAGACTTTTACAAATGATCTCTTACCCTTTACTTTGAAATACTCGTAAAAAGAAAACAATGTAAATGATCACTTATACATTGTAACAATTGTGCATTGATCATGCAATAAAATTGAACAGGTCCAGCCCACAGACTATTTCTACCTATTAATAGCTACATAGATATTCAAACCTACACAAAGTAGTTATTTTTACCTACTTTCTGTTTTACTTGCATTTTGTGGCCAAATGCATGAATGGCGCAACATGGTCAGCACTGAATTTCCTGATACACTAACAGACACACTGATGATGGACAAGACAAAAATTTGACCAAAAATGATTACTTTGTATATGATCAATTTTGCATAGAAACTAATGTAAAATTTCCGATTCAGAAAGTAATCAATTTTTGGTCAAAATTTTGTCTTATTCATCATTAGTGTGACTGTATCAAAAATGATGGTATTAATTAATATATATAAAACATGTTGCGTCGTTCAGTCATTTCACCACAAAATATAGATAATACCAAAAGTAGGTAAAAATTGTTACTTTGGGTAGGTTTAAATACCTACGTAGCTATTGATAGCATAGGTTACATGTTACTGACATTGTACGTCGGATTAGCAGCTGATGGACTTGGTTATATTCCTCGATCTCTTTATAAATCAGTGTTTATTATTTCATGTACAGTAGGCAACGATAATTCGTTACGAAAGATTTACGCATATTTAATACTACAGAATATTATCATTAAGAGATTCTATATAGTCTTCATCTTTACCTGGAATTTTCTGGATCGTTGAAGGAGACGGAGACGTCTCTACCTGCCGGTTCTGGTATGTAATTGTCATCATGGTGATCTTCTCCAGTCTCATCCCCCACAGCTCGACTCACATCGTAATCATGATCTAAATTAATCTATTTTCTGCCCAACGGTTTTTCAGAATCTGAGAATTCTTCCTGTACTGTGACGTTTTCTTGGAAAAGCCTTGCTTTTTCCAGTGTGCCATAGTCATACATGTCAGTGCAGTCTCATTGACAGACGATTGTTTACATTTTACCGCGCTGATACGGCATATGTCGTAAACAGTATATTTTCGATGGATTGTAAATATTAGAGTAACATAGACATAAATGTTGGTTATTTATGTAATGTTTTACTCTAAACTATAGTTTTAAATACAAAACTATTCATTTACACATTTTGTTAATTTTACGACATTTTTAAGTATGGCGACCCGTTGTTGTTAAAATATCGTGAGTAAACAAGTACCTTAATGGATTGTTAGGGGAGTTAGCTCAACACTAAGCTATAGAATGAACAACTCAAACAAAAGGTTTACGTCACAATCATGTTTTAAATTTAAATTCAAGAAAAATTTCAATTTTGTTTTATATTTAAAATTGCAAAAATAGTTGATTATGTATTCATGACATTTAATTTATTTAGAATGGATTTCACTCTGAAAGTTGAAGTAATAATTCATTCATGCAAAGAACTAATTCGAAAATATTTCTCACTGTTCTTGCATGTCGTAAACATATAAATTGATGTTTACTGAACTATAACTCCAACAATAGCCACCGGCGATAAGACACGTGTCCATAATGATAGTGTGCGACTACGTTACCATAGTACCATATTGCTATACATTTTATATAAAAATCATTTTGCTTCGTTTTGCATTAATATATTTTGTTTAATCTGAAATAAATGCTAAAATCCAATTTTTCAACATTAAAATCAAACAAACAAAAAATATAAAAACAAAGATATGAGGATTATAAGGAAAATTAATCCATGAAGCTGTCGACTGGGAGTTGTGGCGTGCTCCTGTAATCTAGCTACTTGGAGGTCAGGGTTGGTGGACGATTTGAGGGCGGGAGTCCTGCTCTCATGTGACCTATGTCGATCGGGCGTCCGCACTAAGCATGGCATCAATATGGTCACCTCGGGGGAGCCCAGGGTGTCCAGGTTGTCTAAGGAGGGACGTATCGGCCCAGGGTGGAAACACAGCAGGCAGAAGTCCCCGTGTTCTGCAGTAGTGGGATTGCGCCCGTGAATAGGCACATGTTGGCAGCCCGTCCAATACAATTGAACCCAACTCTTTTTTCTGTTTTTTTTAAACCTTTTTAAAATCATTTCAATAGGAATAGGCGAAAAATATGATTTTTAAAAAATTGAGTATTTTTTTTTATTTTAAAAAAGTTAAAAAATCTTCAATCCGAATTCGTTTATTTTTACAACTATCAAAATATAGTTTAACATGAAATATAATAGAATATTATTAGTATTAGTGAATACCTTTACTAAGTATAAAAAATGTAAATACATGTTTTATTGATTTTAAAATCTTAAAGTAATAAATTAATATGTTTTCAAAGTATCGAAACATCTTTTATACGTGTTATTAATATACATTAAATTAATAGTTTGAAATCTTCGATCCCTCGGAACACGACTTGTTTCGTTGATTTTGAAAGAGGTGGAAGCAGGGAGTAGGAATTATAATTAACAACTATATATTAAACTTTAAAATCTCGAACAAGCCCAATTAGGAACATATTGTCCAACCTCAAAAATCTTATTTCAGGTGCTATGAAGTTCTAATGAGATTCTAGTTAAGATGTCAACTTCCTTGAGAGGAAAAACACTGATGTCCTTTACATAGCAGAAATATCATTTTATTTGCTCTCAAAATGGTAGGGACCGACCAGCCAATTCTATTGTGCAATAAACTGATGACAGTAAATCATTATTTTTTACAGAAAATTGGGGGAGAGAGTAGGTTCCCTCTTTACTATATATATGTGTCTATGAAAAAATCAGACATCTGTAACCAGGAATTTTTATATCGTCATGGGCGATAATCATATAAAAGATGAGCAATTTAAAAAGTTAACTTTGTGCAGTACCAGCCATTACTACAGTGTAGTACTACATCTTCAATATTTGCTCTATAAAATGGAAATAGACCAACAGACAGAGTCCAGGAATCAGTATGCATAGCTTACAAGAAGAATATGGAGATAACGAACAGTATCCAATCTCAAAGTCCATAACACGATACAAACAAGGAGCAGAGCAAACACGGAGCTCCGAAACATAAGAGGTGGGATCAGGTGCCATGGAGGAGTGAGCATCCCCTGCTGACCGGTCACACCCGTCGTGTGCTCCTTGTCATGATCAGGAAATAAAGGAAAAATCCGTCGTCAATTCAGTGTATAAATAATGGACTAACAATTTGTATGAAAAACGTCCGTCAGCATTTGACTCAATGATAAATTGTATTCGCTGACAAGGTCATTGTATCGACCATAGAATTTACGAAATGTTGACTTTAAACGAGCCTGCTGATATTCTTGTTTTATCCAGAAGCTTCTAAATGTGACGTCATAGGTAAACATATAATGGCAATGTTCATGTTTTGCTATGGGAAACCTAAAATACGTGTCGAATAAAAAAGTAAAATAGGAGGTGCACAATGGCAATATGTAATAAAGATTCTGTGAAAGTTTTATTAAATTTCACTCAGTAGTATAAGAGGAGTTGCGGATAAGAGATAAAGCGTAACAGACGGACGGACGGACGGAAATCCCGATTACATTATACCCTCCCACTTTTCAAGCGGGGGGGGGTATAAAAAATAATAAAGTCTGATACCTCAAAATAATTCCAGGTTTGTGGATAACTTAAGGATATCCGATCCTCGGCCAGGAAGGATAACTCCAAAAATTAATATTTTATTTGAAATGCATCAAAATGAAGCTTGAAAATGATTTTTTTTTTTCATGCAACAATTTTCATTTTCTTCATCTTTATAAGATTAAAGGTTTTTTGGAAGTCATAGATAGAAAAGGTCTTATAAAAGTTGACATTTGTATCCTATAAAAGGAAAAAAATTACAGTTTTAAAGAAATAAAATTTTCTTGAATTCAGTCTTAGATACCAATGTTTATTAGCATAATATGAATTAAGAAGTGATTTGTGGTGTCTTGCAATGACAGCAAAAGCCTTTTACACTATGTGTAATAGAATACATGACGGAAATAGAAGATAAAAAATATCAAATAAGTATAAAAATCATGACAATTTCTCTGAATGCCTGGATACCTATCATTTTTCAACCTAAAATATATTTGTCGATTTATTTGCAATTAGAAAATACATTGCTGATATTCCAATTCGCTTTTCCTGCAAAAATTTTGGAGATTTGACAATTTTCCCTATATAATATGATTAACTTTAATATTTAACTTTGAAAAAATACTGTGGATAAATTCACATAACTTTGTGGATTCAGAGATACTTTTATGAGTATTTTTGATAACTTAACTGCTAATTTTATAGACCTGACGATCAGACTACCTTAAGTCAGAATCAGGTTTCTTATTCTTAAATTGCAGAATTATTTCCATTATCTTTTACATTTAAAAATGCAAGAAAGCACTGTAAATATTTCTGATTATGTATTCTTGACATTTATTAAGAAAGGATTTCACTCTGTAAGTTGATGTAAAAATTCATTCATGCAATGAACTAACTGGAAATTTTCTTCACTGTTCTTGAATAGTGTAAACATATAAATTGATGTTTACTGAACTATAACTCTAACAATAGCCACCGGCGATAAGACACGTGTCCTTAATGATACATGTAGTGTGCGACTACGTCACCATAATACCATATTGCTGTACATTATATATAAATTCATTTTAATTTATGCT